TAGAGGTGGGTCATAATTTCTTCCAACTCCAAAATCTTATCATCCCTTAAAAAAAATTATAAATACTTAAAATATATAAACATATGTAGAACTGTAACTTCTATAATTTCTTAAAGAAATATTGAAGGCGGGTATTTATTTTATGTTTTTGTTTATATTAAATGATGTATTTATAATATTTAAACATAAAGTTTGATTGGAAATTAATCTTTACAGTTATAATAATTCAAATTAAAAATTTAATAAAATATACTGATATAAATTTTAAATTTCTTAATTAAAATAATATAGAGGTGGGTCATAATTTCTTCCAACTCCAAAATCTTATCATCCCTTAAAAAAAATTATAAATACTTAAAATATATAAACATATGTATAACTGTAACTTCTATAATTTCTTAAAGAAATATTGAATATGGTAATACCAAATATATTAGGAAACTTATTTTGGTGAAGATTTGACTAAGGAAATCTATTATTTAAACTATGAAAAGATATTAAATACTTAAATCTATTATTTAAATTAGGAAAAGACAAGCATGCTTAAATATAGGTTCAATAAATATCTCAATGTCATTCTATTGTAAATAACTGATAAAATTAAGGGTTATTTATATTTGGTACTTCTCTTTTAATAATATAGATACCTCCATTATCTAATTTTAAACTATTATTTTATAACATTTTTCTTAATTTCGACATCTATTTATATAATCCAATAGAAAAGACTTTTTAAAAATATAGTAATTTATTTCGAATGAGTGTGAAAATATAATTCAATCAAAATATTTTATATATCTAGTGCCTCTATTTTATATAAGTACTCCAAGTATTTTAAACAAAACCACTCAAATACTGCTAAAACTCCTCTTCACTATGGTAAGTCTCTAGGTTAAGCAAGATAGAGAAATCTAATATAAATAAAATAAATTCAATTCCATTATAAAAAAGATGCATAATCTCATTCTTCCAAAAATAAAGAATGGTCTAAATATAAATAGGTATTATATAAAAACAACTTCGATCAATAATTAGATAGAATAACTTCAAAACTTCAGAAATCGATGATTGGAATCCTGCAAAGATATGAATTTTAACATATGAGGAAGAACAAAGTTTTTAGTATATATACTACACAGCTTTATAGAATCAACTAAGTATAATGTGCTTACTGCGATTTGAAGAACTGAATCTCTGGGATGTCTCTATCAAACATAATTTCAGAAACACCTTCCATGTTTGTAACATAAGTGAGACCATGTATAAAGTAGAAACCAGACATTTTTGAATAGCAAAGGACGGTGAAGTAACTGGATTGCAATATTATCAAATAGTAGAAATTTCGTGTTCTCTATATTGTCTAGCACCACCAGATGCAACTTGTATCTAAAATATTGATAGCGTGCTCCTTTCCTCGTGAGGGAGGTAACCCTGTAGGTTCCTGGAAATTGGTGAAAATGAATGAATGAGGTAAGCAACGTTGGGATTGACCTTCGATATCACCAATCTCCCATGAGATAAAAAATGAATGAGGTAAGCAACTCGTTTCCTTT